TTTTATTCACTGTATACTCGTAAGCTATACAGAGTTTATTTATTTTATACTCCTTTTTTTATCAAATAGTTCTACAAGTATTTTAATTTCATACCGTAAGATTTTCTATTACGTTACGCGAGTGTTTAACTGCGCAATTAAATATAAGTCTAGTTAGTGCATAAATGTGGCCGGTAACCAAGAACATATTTCCAGTTAACGACTGGAAAATTACATCTTTGTAGAGCTTTCTCGCTTGGGATACCATTCACAGAATTCTACCAAAGCGACTATGGGTGACTTTATTACTATTACTACTATAATCATAGAACAGAGATCGTTCCACTCTTTTATATGACAAAAATAAAGATGGATTATTGTGAATGTTGCTAAAAATGGAATTTCCCTGGGCAAAGTGAGTTTACTCCCTCAAGAGTCTCACGTTGATATAAAAGGTGTCTGGAAAGAATTTAATAATCTCTAGCAAATGTTGAAGTAAACTTGTAAGTTTCGCGAGTGAGGGTGGCGACGCCGTCGCGCGGGCGCGTATCGATCGCGCCACCAACCGCGCGGCCTGCATACGAATACGAGAATCGCCCTCCGTTAGCCCCTTATCTGGCATTTCTACCAGACTAGACCACAAGCCCTTCGTTACTGTCGAAGTTGACCTCGCTGATTGTTATGTCAACTAATCAATCGGCTACAATTGCTTATTTGTATTTCCACTATGTGTATGAGATTGAGAATACATGTCATATTAAATTCTATTTCAAAATGCGTTACGTTATCGCCAATTGTACCTGTTTTACCTACAAGCATCAAAAGATATAAAAGGGGCGATGATGCGATCCTTTCATAATATTATGACATGCGGATGTAACGAGCAAGGCTATATTACAAAAAGCTTTCCCCATTTTCTCCTGCCCGAGGGAGGCGATCACGCGACCTCGTTCTGTGGAGATTGGAAGAGTGACATATTTACCTAGACCTAAACGATGAGGTCACGGCTATGTTATGACATAAGACAAGAAATAACCCGTGCATTTAAATTTGCACAGCACACTCGTAAAATGCGAACCGCGACCCTTTGTGAACTATAATAAAATAAATATAAAGTTAACAAAGGTGTATTCTCTAAATTCTTTTAGGCTGGCCTTCTGCCTGGCTACACCATTTTAAGCAAGCATGTAATTTTTAAATAAATATTTTATTGTCCTTTATCGCAGGCTAATTTGTTTTAAGGTTCAATTTTAATAAAATCGCTTTTTACAAACTTAAGGTTCAATAATCAATGTTTATACAAAACAAAAGCCACGAAGCTTTTTAATAATTTAATAATTTCTTATCGGGTAATGTATAAAAGTATATTAATAAGCGGTATAATTATAATTGTATAATATTATGTTGTTTTATTTCAATAATTTTTTATTTGTTTTTTACTCGTAGGTGTCACCGTACTAGTATAATGAAATATTCCGTGTATCTCAGTAAAATTTCTGATGCAGTAGACGGAAAATTAAGTAGGTTACAAAATTTTCCTTGTAAAAGCTATTTATCTGATGATATTTGAGGGGTGTTGCCGCCCCAAAAATTGACGCAATTTTCCAGCCTACAACGCTTCTACTTATTGCTTCGCGAAATGTCTCCGCCAGCTAAGTAGGCCAACATTGTTTCAGGACTTTGGGGTGCATAGCTTTATATACGCGTATGAATTTCATAACAGGGGTTGAAACTTTGAGAATTAATTACAAATCCTTTTACACTATGAATTATTCAGAATTGATAATTAAATGTTTATCATTGAAAATTAAACAGTATATATAACTATTTTCAGATTTACTTTGTTTAAAACTAGATTGAACATTCTTATTGGATAAGTATTGACATTAACAGAATTTATTTTTTAAGTTACTAATATGTTTTAGACCTTGCATCTTATCACACAATTTATATTGTTTACAATGAATAAATGAATATACTTAAGAAGAACTAGTACGCTATAATCATCATCGTAATATCCAATTATAATAGCCATTATTGTAAAATGACGATCAGCAGTTTTTCTGAACAGAAGAAATTTCTGTCTACTACTATAGGATTGCCACGTTCTGGACAAGCGACATAATCTGAAAACATGTCTGTCTTTATGTTACAATATCACGTTGTACAGCAACTACTGCAACTAAAGAGATGATTACTTTTGTGGTAAATAACACACACACACAGAGACATCAACGGAGTGCGATGAACTTAAATTTAAAATTGCTGATACATTAAAAGTAAACGCTGCTCCAACGGTAATAAGCAACTGCGGAAGTGATGCTATGAAGTTAAAGAAAATATTTTTGTAAGAGGCCCTGCCAAATGGTTTTCGTCTTGAGGCAGTGAAAAACCTTTAAGACCTATACAAAAGCTAGATATAAAAATGTACTTACACTAAATCAACAATATAGATTTATTTTCAAATGCTATTCAGATTTATCTTTATGTTTAAAATAGGGTTTTGTGATTATACCGACTCAAGAGATATCGTATATACATATAATAAATATAAATCGAATATTCTACAATGTAACGCTAAACTAATTGTGACGAGTTTATTATCATACATGTAATTACAGTAATATATTATACATCAAAAGAGATGTTCTTCTCAACTGGACAGATTACTATAATCTTCTCTGTTTAATAGTTGGACATGTGACGACTACGGCGTGAGCGAAGATCCACCAGAACTACCATTATAAAGTGGTCATTGAATGCGAACATAAAAGAAAAGAAATATTGCCGGATGCAAATGTTATATTATATCCTAGTTCTCAGAAACGCTTCAACGATCACTGCTTTCCACCAAGAGTATCATTAGTTTATGCCATTTTTATTACCATTTGCAATAAAAAAAAGTACTCAATAGTTCAGTGGGACACTTCACGTTAAGAAATCTCCCTGATAATATTAATAACGTTTAGAACTAACAACATACATTATTTTATCGTAATTACTTACTTGTCGGATATTTATGTAAACAAATCTTATTCGCATATTTAATTCGTGAACCAAAAAAAATATAATAGAGGTTAATTGTACTTTGTTAGACTGTCTCCCAAATGACGTCGGCGGTGGAGCACCAGATCGATACAACGACGCCAAATGGTCGGTGTCGCGATGAGTACTCACCGGGGTTCAACAGTCGGAACTGTTGCTGTTTGCCGCCATTTGTATTGTAACCTTCAACATGTGTTTACACCAAATCTAATTTAAATGTTATCCTCATACAAGGCGAGGCAAATTTGACAACTAAACTTGAACAGATGTGAATAACCTTACAAACGTTTATAAATGCCAGTAACTTTCATGGTATGTTTAAAGAAGGCATTACTGTATACGTACTGAATTTATTTGTAAAGATATAGCTTGAATTCCTAAATAATGTCAGTAGGTAGCCCATATATTAAAAATTTACCCACATAATAAAGTATGTATAGACGAATGTACTTAACTGAATTTGCATTTAGGTATTAAATATTATATTATTTTTATTTCATTCTAAAATAATGTTACCTCAGACTTTAGGTAAACACAACTATATTGACACTTTGTATCTCGTTACGTATTTAATATGTCTAAATCTCCCTTCAAATTCCGTAACAATGCCGACTTGCGACTATAGAAGATTATCTATTTATTGTTGGGATGGGACACGTGGATATGCAGCTGTCGTTTGCAATGTAAAACCACAACACGAGCGCATGATTTATAAAAGTTGGACAGATGTTCCTCTATATAAAACTTGCATTTTGTAATGTAATTTTTAGTATTGATTTTTACATAAGATAAAAATTTTATAACTTACTGAGAAGCCATATTTTATTGTCGTTTATTCATATAATAATAAGTATGCCTACATAATAAGGATGTTAAGTTCGCAAGCACTGAAAATTACCTTAAAATTTTGTTATAAGTTAAATGGTTTTAAAATAAATTTGAATCGCTAAATTAAGAAGAAATAGTAGTATTATTAGTGTTACTATAGTTGACAAAAAGAAGAATACAATATCTTCAAAGCTGTTGTACTTTTCGTTATAAATAAGGAAGAAAAATCTGAACAGATTAAATTTGAAAATCAGATCAAACGTCGATTGCATAAGTCTCACGATGAAGCGACTGTCGAACCGGTTTACCAAGAAACATGTTAGGAGGTCCTCTCTAGTTTTCGAATGTGCCACTCATCCTCCAGATAAAATGATTTTGATTTAGCAAATTTTTTACAATCAATACTCTCAAGAATATTTAAAAACAAAAATTGTATAAATTCATACAGACAGGTCATATATATATAAATTTATACAATAGCGTGTCGGTTGTGGTCTCTAATAATTTATAACTTTTCTATAAAATAAACTTATCTTCAGAAAATTGTGTCATATAGAACCAGAACTTATCGGGTTTGTAGGAATGAAGTTATCTTGAATAAACAATAAATTTACAAACATATCTTTGAACTTACACATCTAATAATATCTTGTTATCTGTACCCTGCAATTTTTTATCAGCTCAAGGATAAATCTTTGAACTTGTATAATAATAGCATCACATCTGTATCCTGCAAATTTTTATTAACTCAAGATCCAGTGTGAAGCCTGATTTTGTCTCTAATAGATTATTATAAAAAATATATCGATTTTTCATAAAAGTGTTGTTTTAGTCAATTTCTATCGGTATAAATTAATCATAATTTTCTTATTATACAGGTACATACCTGTATAATAAGAAAATGAAGAAATAAGATAGAAATAATATTCTTTTATTTCTATAATATATTTTTATTTTATACAAGTAATTTACTTGTAGATGATGATGAGATAATGAAACTTAAACTTAAATTCCAGAATCATATAATATACCTACTTGTGGGAAGAAAATAAAAATAAAATCAATTGAAACACTCATTGCAAGTAAAATTAATTTTATTTTCCTATGAAAGGTAGATTTTAAATAACAAAATAACTATTGATTCTTACCTGTATTCGAAATATGTAATTCAAATCGGCGTCAATTCGATAGGGACGTGATGCGAAGCTTCTAAGAAAACACAAGAACCGCGATTTTTTTGCAGGTATGTGACACACACAAACACTGGTATTGTTTTGCCTAATCACTTGTTTATCCGTATGTATTCACGAATTTTAACGACGGCTTGTGAAGCAACACTTCGGGTAATAGTGGGTTCGCTGATTGATAACGTAGTAATATACCGCCGCAGTGCGGAGTCTCCGGTGGACTGGTGTAGCGCGCTGCTGTGCCGGCAACCGGTAGGCGAGAGCGGCGCGGCGGCGCGAGGCGCGTTTCGGTGACGCGGTCGGTACGATCGGGCGCCACCAGCCCGCCACCGCCGTCACTGTGGACTTACCCAGGGGAACGATAATTCAACGGTTTCCTGCGGTACTCCATGATGAAACTACTATATACGTCTTGCTACCTAGGATAAATACCGATATCTAACAATAACACAGATACAAGGACGACAGGTCCTTGTATGAACACATTGAATTAAATATTTTACTCTCACGACTGTAATTGTAGACGGGGTAAACACAGCATTTAACGGTCTTATAATAATAGATATTCACATTAGGCTGAACGTTTTGTGTCCAGTGTGAAACGCTTATAGGATGGATGGAGGAGGATATTTGCGGATAATTTTTGTTAATTAACATTGCCTTGGTCGCATAGCATTAGTGTTGGTCGGATTTTGCCATTTGTTACCTTCTTTTTGTGTCGTTCAGATTTGTATGGACTATCAATAAATACGTGTCTATAATTCAAGGTAATATCCCACTATGTAATTAGCCACGACGCTCGTTTGAGGTTCCGTTCGAAAATGGTTATCCCCCACGCTACATTTAGAGGACTTCCTTTGTGCCCGTCTATGGTAGGTACTTATTATAAAAATTGACATTCGCCATGTTTTAATATTTAATAGTATTTTTCTCCTGACGAACTAAAAAAGAGAAACAAACAAACATCGATTCTGAAAATAGCTGAACACAGTGTAGGTACCTACTGAGTACCGGTACTTGCGTCAAATTCACAAGTATTCGTGACTGTGGAAAAAAAACACTTCAAAAAAATATATGTACATGGCGATAATTTCAACTTTGTGAGGTTCACTTCAAGGACCATTTTCCTAAATTCAAATCGACGGTGCAAGTTACAACGGACAAAAACGATTTGGTTATGCGATGTGATCATGTGACAAAAAGCTTTCCACTGCCCAACCAATCAATTGTTTCATTACTCGTTGATACTTCTTTAATGTTTAAACAGAAGTGATAAGTTGATTGACTTGAATAAAAACTTTATTATTTTAGTGACTTTGTGTCAGCATTTTCTTATTTTCTTATTTCGAATAAGTAGTACAATATTTTTAAAATAATTAAATTGGCCTATGTGAGGAATCGCAGATTAAAGCAGAAGGATATAATAATATATCAAAATAGAATAGTGTTGGATTCCTTCATTATTTTTATAGACGCAACATGGTTACAAGTACAATAATGCCATCTTGTTTGCCTTCATACGAATATTACGAAGTTGAGTGGTAATGTAATACCGCTAGTAGATCATAGGGGGCGCTGTTTTATATTAAATATATACCTAAACTTTATTACAAAAAATAAAAATACATCATGATCATACGAATTATTTGCATTTACTTATACTATTATAGGTTTATATTACTTAGTACAAACTTTATTTACTTAAGTAACCCAAGTTTTACTTACATTAAATATTATCTAATTATGAAGGATTTTATTCAAACAGTTCAATTTTAGTCTCGTATAGTGATAAAGATGCATAGTATAATAGTAAATTGTTAATGTACCACAAAGAAGTACTCATTCGCTTTTGGTAGTTTCTAGGAAATTGCTAGGTCTTTAATATCTCCGCATTGCCACTACAGATATCTAAAATTTTGCCGTTTCTTGAAAGTCGTTTACGGGGGCCGGATTCTATGTCAGTATTTTAAATAGAACACCGTAAAAGAGGGTAACTTCCAGGAATTTAAAATTTGCTCTTAACCATCAGACACTTCGAATCACTTTCCATTTGCAATTGCAAAAGGAAAGTGAGTGACATATAGTGCGGAAGTTAAAGTGGCAACACAGCATTTAGCGATAACTATGAATGAATAGTAATGGAAGTCGCCATTACGTGTATAAGTCATTGTGGCTGTGCTATAATTGAAGGAGATTGCTTGTGTCAAAGAAATCGCGCGCTATTAAAATTTATAAACATTGCCTTTAGCCCGCAAAGTCGATTTTTAGTGTTTTAATTTTCATGTACTTAGAAAAATTTGCAATGTGAGTAAATTTCTTCTATTTTTTTAATATGTTCTGATATATATAAGAAATATAATTTCTTTGAATGTTTTTAGTACCGGTAAACTAAATAATTGTTATTTTATTAATGAAAATATTGTGTCGACTAACTTCTATTATTTGACAAATTTTAATTAATAACTAGCATGTGTTTTTTATTTTAAATGTTATTTTAGATGGCTCCTCCTAGGCGGATTGTAAGGCAACAATTAGAAATACTAATGGACTTTCTTGAAGATAATAAAGACATGTCAAAAGGATTACCGCCTGGTACACCAGTATGTCATCAGGCTACCAGGCAGAAATGGGCAGCATTAGCAAAACAGCTCAATGCTGTTCAATCAGGTGCTTTGAAAACACCGGAAGGATGGAAGAAGGTATATTATTATTTAAAAAGTTATATATTTATTATTTTTTCTAGTAAATTAAGTAAATAACGGTAAAAAAAGCAATGTTTTATGGTTATTATATTCTATCTTTATTTTGGAGTATTTTTGTCATTAAATTAAATATTTTTTGACATATTGAAATGATTCTACATGAAATTTTCCCAATGTAATGATTCATACCCATATCACCACAATGTAGCATCTTATTCATATCTATACAAAGCACTACTGATAGACACACTGCTGCTTCGTATAGATATGCTCATATGAATTTGGAATCCTTTATCAATATATACACATGTATAAATTATACTAATGACAATACAATATTACTAAGTGCTGACAACTAAAATATTTGAAAGGTATATTTTAATAATGATAGCTTTTATTGCTGTAGATAAATTAATTAATTATGTATTAATTTTATTATTTAAATGAATTAATTATAAAGATTTTCAGTAAAAAATTCTATTGCCTATAGTTCTGACCATCGTTTACATCCTCTAAGTGGAACCCACTATTTCCTTAACATTGTCACCACACTTTTGTTCTCTTCTACTGGTTCTGTTGGTGCCTAGAACATCATACTGTTACCAACTTTGTCCTATTATTCTTCCTGACCTGTTTTATATTCTTTTATGACCTATATTTTAGCTTTACTTACTACATTAATAAATCTACTAATAATAAAATTCTTTTATATGTTTCAGTATTGGTTTGAATGGCGTCATAAGTGCAGAAGAAAAGCAGCTGATGTTCGAAGATTTCAATCAGCGTCAGGTGGTGGGTCCAATCGATTTGTGCCTCTGAATGATTTAGAAGTGAGAGTTCTTGAGCTCAGTGGCAAAGGATCGGTTACAGCTTCTGTATCATCCTCCAAGCAGTTAGAGAACTTCTTAGCCGAGGACTCTGATTCTGAGCCTCTAGAAAATGTAAAAGCACGGTCTGCTGTATCTAATGTCAAAGTGAGGAGTTCTACAAGCAACACTAAGATAGAAAAAGGTGTGTGTTTATATTACAACAGTAAATTAGTGTTATAGTATCTATGGCTTTGATGGTACAATCATATCTCCTCTTTCCACTACAATTGTATGGTAGGCTTAGTGCAGTAAAATATGAGTTACTAAATGCTATATTTCACTTTGAGTAATATATGATCAATACAATATTTTCATCAAGTAAGTCAATAAGCAATCTTTTTATAAATCTACAGCTATAGGATTATTAAAATTTACTAAATATAGATCAATTTATCTGGAAATTAAAATAATGAATATGTTGACAATTATTTTTAGATGATGATGTTCGACCTGTAACACCACCACCTAAATGGGCTTTAGAACTAGAAGAAAGAAGAATCGCAGCAGAGGAACGTATGGCAGAAGCTTTAGAATCTATAGCGTCTGTAATGAGATCACAAGAAGAAAGACGAGCTATGTTGGAGGACAGAATAGCAGATGCGTTGACTGCTATAGCTGGCACTGTGCAGGACTTAAATAGTGGTATACAGGATGCTGTACAACACTTGCAGCAAGTATATCCAGTGCAAACTAATGGACCCAGTATAAAGGGAGATGTGTTCTTATAACTTACAATTTATTTTTTATATAACTATATATACTTCTAACTATAATATTATTAATTATAAGTCTACATTTTTATACTAGTCTTTTGTAAACATAAGTTCAAAATTTATAACTATGTCATTAATATACATATGAATATTACTTATGTAGAAAATATGTAAACTATACAAGTAATATATACGTAAATTTAATTTTGTAATTAAATGTAACCGCCTTATTACATAAAACTTGTTTTTTTTTTGTGATTTTAGGAAATAGTTAAAACGGGATTTAAGATATATGATTTTTTTAATAAAGTTTATAAATCGGATGAAGTTAAATATCTATACATATTTATTATAATACATACATACATTTAATTGTGTAATGCACAACAAAAGCAATTTTATTGTAGTAATACAATTTTATTATTTTACTTTTATTTTTTATAGGACTTTTATAGAATATAAAAAAATATCTAATTCGTCTGTAGTATACAGACGAATTAGATATTTTTTCCTACAATGCAAAGTAAAATTGTTAATCTACATATTATTTTTTTATGATCTTGAGCTACGAACACAACAGTATTATAAAATAAAAATATATTTTGTGGATAGATTCTCTTTATATCGAGACACGATCAGAGTTTTTCATTTATAACATACCTAGTAGCGAAAATATTCGGTGAATTTCTAAGAGAGAATATCCAATCTAATTTTAATAAATGTAAATTTCATAAACATGGTGCTGACGTGATCTCAGTTTCAGTGCTCTCTGTGAAACCTATGTATTTAAATTAGAATGAAATTTAAAAAATGCATATATCGAATTAATAAAAATAAAATACAAGTTGAAGTTAATTTTTCTACTATGTGATTCTTTTATATTTGATGTATTGTAGCTACATTATAATAATTGTAAATAGCATCATGAATACAATTATTTAATGCATAATGTGTTGCATCATTTATAATTAATACTCCTTAAATCATGTACTTAGTTTTCTCAATTTAACCTTCACCATATTTGATTGAAACTAGTTCTAAAAAACATATTATAGTGTTTTTTAGAACCAGTTTGGCCTCTTATATACATTAATTATATACTCTTTTTGCATGCCACCCTTTTTAAGTTTTATCAAAATCCGTTCAGTACTTTTTGGGTGAAAGAGTAACAAACATTGTTCCATCCATCCATCCATACTCATAAACTTGCACTTTTATAATTTAGATCATATACATATATAATTTGAACATTCTCTTCTTTTGATTCTCTCATTTAAGCCGTTCTGCGTGTATAGACGAGATATCATATATAATTTTGTTAGAAACACTGTCTTATGCTGTATTTACCTAAATTTCAGGTATGGAAGCATTAGAAACGAGTATAAACTATTGGGAGGACGCTCTAGCGGCTTTTTCGCTGGGTGCCCGAGGTGGCGTATCGGGCACACTGGCGCTCACATCGCCCGAGGAGGCGGAGTTTTGTCGCGAGATACAAGATTTGTTGCAGAATGCTTACCTCTTGCAGGTACGGATTATAAAACTAATATTTGAAAACAATTTAGATCGTTAGATTTAACGTGTATTTATTTAATAAAAATATAATTATAATTATTGAAATCGTCACAGTTAACGACGACAATATGTATAAACTTTTTTTAGACGGTCGTAAATCTTACAGTGTTGTATAAAGAGTATTACCTTGGTACAGGAGCGGTGCGAGCTGCTGTTCCTGGACCAGCGGTCGGTGTTGTTCCGGTCGGAGAGCGGCGGCGGCGCGGCGGAGGGCGGGTCGTTAGGCGGGCGGCGGTCGCGGCTGTTGTCCACGCACACCGCCTCCTCGCACACGCGCCGCGACCACCACTCCAGCGCGGAGTCCTTCGCCTCCGCCGAGGACCAGGTACATCAACATTTCAGACCCGAAGACGTCCACTACTGAAAAAATCTACACGACGATCGGTCCTGCGCTGTTCGCATACGATTTCTAGCGATCTTGACCAGATCGTTGGTCCACTTTGTTGGAGGCCTTCCCACGCTGCGTTCACCGGATGGATCCGCGATCGCCACTCGAGGACTTCACAGTCCCAACGACCATCTGTCCTACGAGCTATGTGCCCTGCCCATTGACACTTCATGTATATACACCACCAAACACCTAGTAATGTGGATTGATGACTACATTGCTAGGCAACATACCATGTTAGATTGACCTCCAGGCGGTTCCTCCTGGAAATCGTCGTGATAAAATACAGGTGAATTTGCCACAACCATTATCATAAATAAATATATCTTTTGATGTTTCAGGTGGCAGATCTTAGAGATTTCGATGAGTTCACCGAGATATTGCCTGAATTAGATAATTTAGAATTATATCAAGTAGCAGTAAAGCAACTGGAATCTGGTATACCTTATAGGTAAGAGACGTAATAGATAAAAGAAATATTTTTATTCTTCTTTTCTTGAAACCTAAATATTACTGATAATATTATAACGGAGAACGCAACATGTGTCATGTCCACATTTTGCTGGGTTATTTTGCACAGTTTTTTTTAAGTCTAACGTGGCAGAGAATGCGCTTACCGCCCTCTCTCGACTACGTTTTTGAATTGATATTTGTGTTTCCTTTATCACAGCATTGACAATGCCTCTTACTCCCCTATCTGGTATAACAGTCGTAAAAATGTGTTTGTTTTGTATGTACATTATAACGTACAAGAAAAACTTGCCATAGTTTTATGAAACATGTTCACTTTCATCATAGACCACGTGAGTAGAAAAACAATTTTAAATAAGTATGTCGAAAAAAACTTTTAATTTTAAGAAACCATTTTAATATTATCAACTATGCTGTAACAATATTTTCTTTTTAGAACACTTCGTACTGATGTAGTACAATGTAGTTCAGATTCGGAGTTCCTGTGTAAGCTTCATTGCCTCAGGCTAGCCTTCCAAAATGTATTCAAGGATGCGGCCATTTGGGCGTGGTTCGTGGATGCTGGCAGACAAGTCCTTACAGACTTACTGCTTTTTGCTGATAAGGTAACTTTTTCTATACATATTCATAATTAAAATATAATGATGTTTTTGATTGTCTAATAGTATTTATCTGCTGTATCAACGGACATCTGTACCCACTACCGATAGAAACTTAAAATTATAAATACAACCCCTTTTCGCAATCAGTTTCCTTTCAGGCTAGCACTAAATATAGATATACAATATACCCGTGCGAAGCCAGTGCAGATAGCTAGTAATTAAATAAAGTTTAAAATACTAATTAAACTAATTTCAGGAGCCGAAAGAATTCTTAGTAGCATATGAAGAAATGGTGTCATGGACGACAGATGGCACTAACTGGCCGACTATTGAAAAGGAACTTTTTAGTAAAGGCGTCAAGGTAACTACATTACTGATATATTATAGTTGTAATATCTATTAAGATTTTATAATATTTACTACCATTCTGTAATCATCTGCCAAACATTTTGCAAAATATTTTTTACCTTTTTTATATATACCTACTATATTATTATTAATTGGTTTTGACCAATGTTCAAGCAGTGAAGATTTTGAATATTCTACTTGTATCATTCCAGCCTCGTCACATGCCCCATATAGTAACTTGCCAGTACTTGTATTACTGCAAGTGTTATTTGTTTATTAAAAACTGCTAATATTTGTATCAGGTTCTGACGTTTTATGATGTGGTACTAGACTACATACTGCTGGACGCTTTCGAGGATCTAGCGGCGCCGCCCTCGTCTGTACTGGCAGTCGTCAGGAATCGATGGCTCTCCGACGGGTTCAAAGAGAGTGTACGTAACTCTTCATAGAATCTCTTACAGGATATACAGAAAGCACCTAGTGCCAATACCCTCGACCCTCCTGTATAAATTAGTAGTAATTTTGATGTATTGAAATACATCAAAATTATACCTCTTTTAATATTAACAAAAACTAATAAGCTCCTATATTTATCTCAAAGTTACAAAATAAATATTAGGTGTAGGTCTGTTTTGTAGACGGCGTGTGTTTTCGCCTCCGCTATGATACAATATTTTGCTCCATTTGTTCTGTTCTGCATTGTACCACTCGACTATATTGAAAAGACAGGAGTACTTGGGACGCCCACTTCTCTTTGTTTAATGGGTTATCCCCTACAAGCATTCCATGTATCGCACACACCTTTTTTTTGCCCATAATGTGTATCTTGTTGTTAAAGAAATAATACAACCTTTTTGACATTTGCTGTAATTTTGTGTTAATAGCTTGGTTAGACTATTATTTTCGTTTACTTTGTAACCGTTATTAAAGACAGACTAGAGCAAACTATATCCAGATATTCTGTTCCTGCGTTTATGTGTATTATGTAATTTACTATTTATTTTATTTTTTTCAGGCCTTAACAACAGCAGTATGGTCAGTTATAAAGGCCAAGAGACGTTATTTGCAGTACCCTGAAGGTTTCATGTCGCATTTCTACTCAATTTCGGAGCATCTACTACCAGTACTGGTGTGGGGTTTTCTAGGACCAAGGGAACGTCTCCGCGATGTGTGCCAAAGTTTTCAATCAGAGATAGTAGGCTTCATAACGGATCTATTTAGTTTCCAAAAGTGCCGATATACCACAGTAGAAGACCTCTCCGTAGATATAATGCAACACGCTCGCCTAAGAGCGGCAAACATCACAGATAAGATAGCGGAAAGAAACTAGTGTCACTGTCACAATAGTAAGTGAGACTGACCGCCATTGTCAAAACAGAGAAAAAAAATTGGCGCAATTATAGTTACAAAAAGTAACATTCCCTGATCTTAATTACGTAACGCACTTGTTAACAATTCTTATTTCAATGAAATTAAATCCTACTCATACTGTTGCAATTATATATGACCTGTTTAACAATTGTAATTGCTGATGTTATAAGCTACCTATTAGTCGATTCTAATATGTTACACTCAAGAATTATTTGCAATTGCGTTACGTAATAAAACAGCTGTTATCGATTAATGTTTTGATTTGTTGTAACTGGTTATAGAAAATGTATTATGATAATCTCTGCAATAACGTACTTCCTCATAATATTTAAGAGAAAGTGATTGTATCAGCTGCTATTAGTTATCAGTCAATCTACATAATAGCTTTGAAATTAACACTAAGCTTCTTATTATAATCTCAATGAGCAGTATTCAATCATTCACTGAAATCATGTATTTATTATAGTGACCGTTTTATAATACGGTGTAGTATAGTTCTCGCAAAGTAGTAACAGTTGCATTTTTAATATTATAATTTACGAGATTTCGAAGGTTTCTTCTGAGGATTAGGTTTCGTTCCCGACTTGGGACTGGGTTGGACAATAGATTTTACTTATGCTTATTTAGAATAATGGTTAGAGAATTTTTGAAATAGATGCAATTCGTTTAGATAGTACCTACTCTATAAATAAACTCACAAAATTTGTATTCTTTAAAACACTGTAGTAATACATTGAAAAATAAAAAGTTACGTAATAGCGTATTACTTACTCAATTAATTCAATTATGTAAATTATTGACCGTGTATTATCAAAAGATTAAAAATTATATGCTTTTAAATTGCTATTCACTGTATTCTCAATCATTTTGGAGTTGTAGTATTTATTTGAAAAACTAAAATAATTTTATTTGTTGTATTACTGTAGACACACTAAAAATGTATATGTCCACAGTAATATAACAAATAAAATTATTTTAGTGTTTCAAATAAATACTACAGCTCCAAAATGATTGAGATAGAGATATATACCAATGTAATTGTATGCAGAATATAACTTAAATACGTTTTTATAAACACTAAAAAATAGATCTAAAATGATGGCGTTAACTGTTTATAAAAATATAGTATTTCGTTAAGTTTCAAGTGTTCGTATCAATCTTCAAGTTCACTATATTGGTAATCTTTGTGATATAATAGCGTAGACATATCTTTATATGTCTACGCTATTATGAATACATATATACATTACTATACACGAAACCAACAATAATACACTTGAGTTAAATAGTGCACGTAATGTTTTACGTATTATGAATAGATTTGCATCAAGTTTATTTAAAGTTATCGCACTTAATTTATAGTTTTTCTAACATTCGAATGATTTAAGTATATATTTTTAAGCGGTTGAATTCGCCTGGTGTATTCTAAAACTGTAAGATGTAGTGTATCTGAATTATTTTAAAAGTGTTACTAAATAGGTACCAAGTTTAGAAATGTATAAGAATACAATTATCATTGTTGTTTAGAAGCATTAAGTGTGGTATTTAAAAACTTGACAATCAAATTTTCTTAATGAAAAGTGTATTCACTCCACTAAGAAATTAACTCATTTTCTTAATTTAGCAGCTAGTGTAGATACTGCTAATCATACAGTATGTACCCCCCCCTAAATCAAGTTCTAAAATTATCTATGAAAGGGATTTTACATGATCGAGATCTTTCTATATGAAACCGACTCACAAGTTTCCTTCTTAAGTGCCAATTAGTAGGGATATTGTATAGCCATTGTATAGGAAATCAAGATACTATGAAAAATTTCTCGAGTCCATATTGTTTTCTTAATATGGTGTTTAAAAAATGTACAACAAATGAAGGCAATTATACAAACATGTTGATGATTCTGTAATAAGATGTAAATGCGATACACCAGTATCAGATCAAATTAAATAACTAACGATTCCTTATATTGCATATTTAAGTAATTAGTTGGCCTCGTCTATAGTTACGAGTATATTGCATTTTATTATGTTGTGCTTTAGCATTCCAATTTAAATAATTGACATGTAATGAAGAATACATATATAATAATAACTATTATTAAAAATATTTCATTTTGTATAATGCCTGTAATACCTGTAGTACTTTTTTATATTAGAGTGAACATAGAAAATATTATTTATTAAAATACATTACATAAAATTGCGTTGTATAGCCTCAAAATGCGAACTACATATTTATTTTGTAAATATAATAATTTTAACTACAGTAATTTGGTTTAAAATTATTTCCAAAAGGTAGGGATGGTGAATCAAACTACTGAATATTAGAAAATTTAGTATATCATCGATTTTTCAATAGTACATATTCTTAATATTATTTATTTGATATAAAAACAAAAATGTAAACATAAAACTATTACAAGTTCAACGATAATACTCTTCCAAAGTAATAAGCACCGAGTAAAGAATTTGATAAATCTATATAGATGATATGTAATATCACTCACTACTGCTTTGCTCTGATTTGGGGGATCTAAATTATAAAAAGTAAACCAACAGCATTACGGTCCTCAATTCTTCTAATATAAAACGGCGTAATCGTATAACTACACCATTACGAAGATTATATAGGTATTTAAATAGTAGTCTTCGAGTATACGACGAAATAATATAGACACGTCTCAACAATAATGCATGTAGGAGCGCGAAGTGAGTGATAAAACATATGCAGCAGGTACCGAATTCAAACAAATGAGGTTGCAATAGTACCGTGAACAGTCTTTCTTACCGCATCAACTTCTATTCGATGAAATCAATAACTAAATATAATTATATAAAAGGCAGCCTCCTTTGTAGATTTAGAAGATTATCAGAGAAAGCCTGGCAATCACCTCACAACAATAATATTACAGTACCTACTATTGTTAGTATACTATATTTTTAAATAGATTATAACAATTCACAAAATTATTTGGTTTAGTGCACAGCGTGTTTATTTAAAAGCTCTAATAATACAACAAGTACTTAAATAATAATATTACATTATTTTATATCCATTTGTTCTTTGGAGCAAACGGCTAGGCCAATTTAACGAGCATTAATATTTTTTTAAACATAACTATTTGTAGTTTATTTTACTCTTAAGGTGCTGAATCGCTTGGCGTCGCACAAAATAATATATTGTTTATAAATAAGATATTTTCATGTTTTGATTCTCTTAGAATATATTTATAATTGTGATACTTTGACATTCCTTGCATCTTATTTTATGAAAGAATAAACATTTTTTTCTAAACTACACGAATATTTAAACGTAATATTGATTGACAGGCTCTCTTGTGGCAGAGCTTATGATATATTTAGAATCGCCACATTCGTCAGGACTAGACACTAGATACAAAGTCTGAAAATGAGTAATACAAACACACAAAGAAATGCATGCATTCTTCTTAAAATAAATGGAATCACTCTATGACATCCGAAACGTCAAAAAGTCAATATATACAACACAAATTAAAAAATCAGAACTATATATTCGTTTGCGTATTCGATTAAATGTATCACTTAAAAATTTAAGTGGAGACAGCAATGGCCTCACATGAGGACAGCTGCATAATGAAATAAATATTCGAGTCGAAAGACGATCGAGCATAAAGTTTTTGCCCGAAGCTTCTACACTTACTATGCTTTTAGTATAATTTGTGCTACTTATGTCGCTATGTTGACTTCTTTGTATTAAAATTCTGTAAGTATTATGATATAGAATCATATAAATGTTTGACACACTTTTTAAGTTAATTATAAATAAACCTACTGCTGCCCGACTGTCGAGATTTTAAATTGAAGTTATTTTTAGGAGATCAAGAATTCCTCATTAGAACTTATCCAAAATATCCAATGTACAAAACGCAATCCGTTAATATATTGATTATAATATTTCCATTTAAATGTAATCATTAGATATATTTTTATTTATTAAGATAGTAGTTTTATTTAATTTCGTTAGTTAATGAAAGGGTTGCAGTAAAAACCCTTGTTATTTTTCCCAGAAAGATCTTGTTAAATCAATATTTCCTCCATAGAACGAAGTTGTAATTCGTATTTAATATTTGGTTAAAACTAGTTTTCTGCAAGTAAAACTTGTTTCAACTGATATTTGTTTTTTAGCATTTGTAAATGAGTTAAATAACAGTTATACTTAGAAAAAAAATACTTAAAGGGTTTCTATTCCAATTTAGGTAGATTTAAGATAGGTAACATTTGAATATTGGACATTAGGGTAATTCTTTAGAAGGAAATTATACCTACAGGTTGTATATAAAAGTTGCACTATATGGATTTAGCAATTCCATAGTACAGATTAGCAAACTGCTTCACGTGGATTATTATAATAGTAAATCCATATAATAAATTGCCATAAATATAATAAAGTGAGATATGCCGCTAGGTACTACAAAAATAAATATTTTGGTGTGCTAATACTTTTATAGTAAGTCCATTAAAATTAGTGAGTGAGAAATTGTGCATGTAAGCACAGCGGACGGTTATAAACGAGACGGTGACTTAAGGAAACTAAGGACATCTCAGTGTTCTTTACGAACAATAAAGAAAAATGAGTGGTGCTATTCTATCAATATGTAGACACCAGGTGTCCACAGCTGCTCTCGAAGCCTCTAGTAATATCTACTCTTAACAAATTATGCCCGTGTTTTTTTTAAATAACAAGGTAATCGCGTGCTAGTTCCTAGGTCTAGGAAGATATAAAAAAAAACTGGTGTCCGATGTTATCGGTGATTAAAATATGAGGGCGTTTGCCATTTACTCAGGCTCAGGTGAATCGGGTGCATCTACGGATGCGACGGTTGTGCCGGCTGCCGCGCGCACCTTCTTCAAGTAGCTGGCGCTGTCGAATTCCAGGCAACTCTGTCGAGATTATATCATGTTTATCCACTGTGCGTTTTAAGTTCAGTTTACAAATACATTGTGTTAGATTACCTGTGGTTATTGTATGTTAGCAAAGCAGTTTAGTGCCTTTGTGGAAGTTCACCTCTAAATCCAAAGCCATAAACAGGAAAATGTTAGTGATAGGTTAGCAGAAGCAAAACACACATTTTTTTACATAATTATATTTAAAAATTCTGAAATTGACAATAATAAAGCAACACTGGTAATTTTTATACCTATTCAAATAAAAAAACACAACAATATAATAAAACAGGTAATATACTATAGATAGAGTCAACATTGAAATTTAAGTTATCATGCTAATTCGAGACACTTCCTAACGAGTCTACCTGTAGCGAACCTCTCTCGAATACCCATTCTGGCAGCATGAACAGAGAAACATTATAAATTTATAAATATCAATTTGTCATAGTAAATACATCACAAACATAGACATTCAAAACTGTAAATAACTCGCATAAAAGATTTAATAATAAACATTACATAAGCATCAGTCTTAAAAAAGAATTAACGAATTCAACAATGAAAACAATGGTCACTTTTAATTTAGTTATCTGATCGCAACTAAAAGAAGACAGATCTGAATGAGATCAATGTATTAGAATTTAAATATGTACTCGTATGTCATAATACTGCGAAATTTTCTAAGTACTAAGTATCACAATGTCATCAAGTAAAGCTTATTGCAATTGAACAAATAATTCTTTACAAGCTCTTGTTATTAATTAGAAGCTCTTTGGCGCCAAAAACCTTAATATTATATAATTTCAGTCTTATCTGGCAGTTATAAGTAATGCTATGTTACAGAATTTATATTCTTAAAAATATTTTGAAATTTATATTACTTTGTGCTTAAAAGAGCAAAAGTGCTATAGCTTAGACCAAATTTGTTGGCAGATTATATGCAGAGTAAATTGAGACCAAAATTTCCCCATAACCTTCACCAAATCCAGTAACGAATAGGTTAGTAAGATACATTGCAAAAGCCAAGCTCGTGCAGTCCAACGAAACACACGAATACGTTAGTCTAGATCGATACTGGTAAAGGGAAAATTAATCAGAATTGCTTATAGAGGAACTAGAAAACTCATCGTTTCGTTATCTTCGAAACGTATTCGGATGCTCGATAGGAACGATTCAGAGACGACGCGCAACAAGTGAAAACAAAAGCTCAACATTTCTTTCGGGATTGCGTCTCGGGCCGCCCCGCGTCGTCTTCGCCGGTCGGAATCGAAGGAAGAGATAGGGGGAGAGAGGTTCCGGTCGAAGGATCTCTAAACGTCATCGACGTCGCCTCGACCGTCCTCCGCGGCGGGGGCTTCGAACTGGGAAAGGAAACGGACAACGGGACTGAGGGACGCGCCGCTCCGGCGGACCAGACCGCGACCCGCGCCGCTCCGCGCGTCCCACGACCGATCAGTAGAAGTTGCGGCAGAGCAGCGCGGCCAGGTAGTTGGGGGGGTGCAGGGGCGGCCAGGCGCGGAGCGGGCGGGGCGCGGGGCGGCGGGGGGGCGCGGGCGGCGTTACCTTGCGCGCGAGCTCGGGCGGGAAGCCGGCGAGCCCGGCCGGCGGCAGCTTGCTGAGCGGCGAGTCGGCGTACTGCACCAGCGTCTCGTACGTGTACGTCTGCCGCGCGCCGGGGCCGCCGCCTGCACACACCACATCTCTCCGAGTCTCCGCCTAACCTCGCCGACGCTCTCTTATCCAAATTAAGCGTTTTGTATTTCTGCACTTAACCAGTATTGCGTTATTCATTGCTAACTCTTAATTCTTGTGTTTCGTAACCGTTACTAATTTAAACTTTTTTTTATATAATCTTACTAATAAAACGGATTTATTAGATCGATATACGTCTGTCTCTTCGTCACTTTCTAATATTTGAAACAAAAAAGTAACTAGAATTTAAATGAAATTATAACAATGAAGTACCGAATATTTAATTTATACTGTTTAGAAATATTCTCTGGTATTGGAACTAAAATAAATGTTGTAGATAGTAACAGTCACGCATACTTTAATTAGTGCGTTATCACAAACTATTCTCGTATATAAGGCATGTGCGGCTATAGAAACGGTATAAAGCTACGTGCATCATTTATTGGAAATAAAAATTAGTGTCTGTCTCTATATATATTATGGATGCAATATCAAAATCTTATATTTGTAAACTTAAGCGCAATAATCACGACAGCCATAAGCAAAATATATATAAACACTTTCCATTGACTGACTTCTGCATATTGTTAAAATACGAACAATGATTATAGACTAATAACCAAATTTTAATGTGAAATTGTATGACAAATTTAAATCAAAAGAAAAAACTAGTTATTGTGTTGCATATAAATGATCTTGAATAGAAGAAAACTCTACTGCCAATTAAAAAAATTATATTAATGAATCTATTCTATAGAGAATATAGTAGACAATATTAATAATGGAATGAAATGTTTGAAAAAAGTGTGGTCTCACCGCATTGCCCCAATATTAAAACTTTCTTTTATTGACATTAATAAAATTAATATATGTATATTGGACATGCAACTGGGCATATATATAATTCAGCCGCAACATATATAAAAGAACAATGTGTAAGTTTTCACGGGTGCAAAAATAAAGTTTGGGTTATATCTTAGCACGTTAAGTAAACAAAGGAGAAACAATAGTAATAGACAGATGAGACAACGCAACGACAAACGAGTCGTTGCGTTGTCTATTGTCGCCTTATTTATAATTCAAGTACGGTAGATAAGATTTTACAATAAATTTATAGTAGATAATTTAGAAGTTGATCCACATGAAACATGGGTAACTTTATCATAAGATAGAAATTATGTATTTGAAATATTAACGCCAACATTTGGTAATGCATACAGCAATATGCATAAGTATCACAAGGGACAAGTGTAGTCACGGGTCATCAATAACCGGTTTACTATCTTGCATCAATGTGTTTATGAATTTTTTTTACTAAATATCAAAACCATTTTATTTTAACCACTCAGAATCTTACCGAGACAAACACATAAAAATTATAAATAAGGCGTGGAGTAGAACGAATCCTTCTCTTCTACATAAACGTTATATTTGACATGATTTGTTAACTTTAAATGCTAAGATATCATCGGAACTCGACTGTGTATCATTGCACCACGTCATATGAAGTAACCGTACTTGACATACATAAATATAGATCTCATACTGCAGTCCTGTTTCGTATCGCTACATCGACGAGACAGAGACAGACATTGAGAAACAAAGAAGCGATGAGGCAGGTAGTGGTGGCGGTGGTTACCTTGGTGCTTGTCAGTGCTGGCGGCGCGAGAGAAGCGCGGCCGGCGCGGCGTGGCGTCGCCGTCGGCCGCCGCTGCACACATCGCCAGTTAACGTCCGCCCGCCCGCCCGCGCCCAGACATAGCTTCAAGTACGCAAACATCTCCAAGCTCGCCATGTGTCCCACGTATATTTCAGTTTCGATTTTGTGTTCAACTTTACGAGTGGGACAATCGCTGCCTTTACACGTACGCTCTTTTACGCGCGGATCTGCTTTAACGCAGGAAATGTGCATGTAATGCACAGAAAATGTAGAACGAGAAATAATGAGTGCGTCGACAGCTCAGGCATATCCGTGTCTTTCAAACTTTTGTACTTACGCGGCTTGTAATTTTTAATTATCATTGGTTATATATTACTAATGTGTATTAAAATAGCGGACTGATGGAGCAAAAACATAATTATAGAGTTATTGATAATATATAATTTATAAATCTTAAACGTGTCTTTGGAAAATAAAATATGTGAAATTATATACATAATTTTAAAAGAAATTACATGAAACCTGCGTATTCAACGCGCGAAAGAGTGAACACAAAAAATATACCATCCCGCACGATTGCCGGGCACTGGCTTCCCATCTTAAAAAGTAGGCGCTCCTGATTGCGCGTGAAAGATTGTATCGTGTAAAAGCAGCTTATCCACGTACAAGAAAAATTCAAAGTTCAAATATGTGTATACCGTACTTTATTTTCACAAAGTATTGTACAGTGAGCATATATAAGTGTATAATGCATGTCTGATATATATATTTTACTTGCAGCATGTGTTCAAATGTGTATCGAAAGATCTTCAAATATGTATTCAAACCTTTGAAGCTATGTCTTCGGCGTCCGGACCATATACACGTCCATACACACCCACGGTACGCGACCCGCACGCTACCTCTACACAGAAGCAACTGGATCCCCACACTCAATGTATGAAATCATCAATTGAATAATAGACTAATAAAGGTTGACAAAATTCAACTTCGAATAACTTAAAATATTTTTAATGTTAAACAATTACAATACATAAACAAGGATACGTACAGTACTATGAAATGATAAAGAACAACGAGATCGTCTTCTTTATGTAATTTATTAATAATAGTATTGCATATAATAGTATACCCCTTGTTCCTTAAGGTAGGTCGTTTAATTTCAAGTTTCATTATACATACTTAAATTTCTAGCAAAACTATTTTTTTGTAAATTTTATGCAAAGTTTAATTATTATAGTATAATTTAACAGATATGCGCCTCCGTTTTTCAAACATTACCACTACTACTACAAGTAACATATATTTATGCTATACAGGATTCTCTAAAATCTATACTTCCCACATCCTGTTGCTTCTGCATAGAAGATATGATTTGCAGATATATTAAATGATACATATATGATGTTATACAAAAACATGGCCCTTGCAAAATCTGCTTATATGGCAGATATATTAAATGTTTATATAATTATTAATTATTGATGGTGAGTTAGGAACAATTTATTATTATATTCCAAAAACTCTTTAAATAATGGAAGTGCAGAGAGGTTCTTACCATGATACCAAAATGGATGGTGAGTTATAAAACAATAATGGAAGTGCACCATGCCAAAACGAAAAACCGTGGATCGAAAATGGTACCTGGGACTTGACAAATACTGTATACATATGAATGATATAAACATATAAATAAATATTTAATCATATTGGGATGGTTCTCTTCACAATTAATTACACACTAAATGAATCCTTAAATATATATACATGGTTACATATAGTATTAACTGTATAATTTTATAATATGTTTGCATAGAATATAGCTCTACACATGCTTCAGTCAGTCACTAACAATTTTAAATTGATCGTTAATTTCAATAATAAATACATTAAATACTGCACACTTCATCAGTAGCAAACTTTCATGCCCTGAGTTTTGTATTAACATTACAAAAACGTCGTCAGCTATTTTTGCATGCCTTAAAATATGTAAATTCTAATTCTCTGTTATTTTATATAATTGTACTCATAGTTAGTAGCTAAATCACCATTCAGAATGAATTCGCCAGTAATTTTTTGCTATTCTAACCCTACCCACAAAAACGGATAGGAATACAATCAGCATGCACATTTTCTATATTTTAAGTGAGTCCTATCTTAATTATATCTTAAACAACTGACTCGATTCGAGTTTGTCGCGCCTGACTCACGCAGTCGTCTTACAATCAATATTATAATAGTACTTATGACAACTTAATGGTCTATTGAATGACATCCTCATTAAAATAATGGCGTAATTTGCGAAGAAATCTCAAATCGTTCAAGGACGTATATATATTATACTATGTCAAAAATAGGAACTGTTTACTTAGTTCCATTTAGATTATAGTTACTGGCTGATGTTACATCGGACGACCTTAATAGCACTATAAACTTTAACATATTGTAAAACAATTACAAGTTAGAAAATAGACTAATATGGGCGTAAAAGAATTGTATTTAAAAATGTCATAATTCGAAAACCATCACATCATCATTTCATTTCAACCGTACATACAATTGTATGAAATTGTCTCTGTCGATACATTTATACATACATTTCGGTACGCACAAAATTTCCCTATGCGACACTAATGTACTCTCACATATAGCGTCGCAAACAACGAATCTCATACATTTCGGTGCGCACAAAAAAGATAGGAGTTAAGCGGAACGAGCGGCGTACCTGCGGCGTCCGCGTCCTGGTGCAGGAAGACGTCGTCGTCGGCGCCGTTGAGCGCGGCGTCGTCGCGCAGCAGCAGCGCGGCGCCGGGCCGCTGCGACAGCGTGAAGAAGTCTCCCGAGCCCGCGCCCAGCGCCTCCAGCGCGCCCGCGCTCTCGAAGTACTCGTCCAGCACCAGCTTCGCAGTCTGCGACCGACCACACCGGGTTACTACGATCCATTGCGACTAAATTTCTGATTAGCGAGCTAGCGGCGAGGCCTCCTCGCTAGCGCGGGTGTTAGTAATGCTCACGAATTCTTAGACCACCCTGTACCACCACCTCCTTACTCATTATTAATATACGCGATGGTTAGCCATACTCAAAACTAGAGCTAACAAGAGCCGACTCCGCCTATGATTTACGTTCTGAATGAAGTATGATTTATATTTGGTCATAATATTTCTATAATTGCTCTGATTTTATAGAATTTTAATTCTTGTTAAAATACATTAACCTCGACTAAATTAGATTGAAATTGATATTGAAATAAAATATGTATCCTACAAATGTTAAGGTGTGATATTACTTGCTCTTTATAATGAAATAACAAGACCACTAGATATTCTAAACATCACTAATTGATTTAGCATCGATTGTTCATTTATTGACTACATGGATAATTTAAAAAAATCTCAATCTTGCCTTTTTAATAATCGAATAAACACTATTCAGCTATTCACTAATGTCTTTTATGAGCGGAGACAGGAAAGAATGTTATTATTTTTAATCATATTACCTTCACAAGATCCAAGTTGTTGCCTGTGATCTTGATGGAATGTTGTCCAAAAGTCACAGTGTACTTATATTCTCCCAGCGCTGCGTCATTCGTGGAGAAACTATGAAGAAGAGCCCGTGAATTGTTGTGTGGGGATTTCTGGTAACAATAGAAATTGCATAATATAATAACATATTTTAAAAGGAAGTGTACTTCCTTTAAAATATAATATTGCGTAGACTACTAGCTCTTCTTAAATAGGTGTCTGTTCGGGTTGTACCGAAACTATAAAGATTCTGATAGGTAAAACTGATAAATGATACTGATAGAAACTTGATTAAAACTGTATATTGAAACTTAAAATATAACTGATTAATGATTGTAATGAGTACGCGCGGCGTCCTTGATGACCGAATGCGAACTGATTTTAATGAAATGTGAAATGTAAAATAAAATGTTAATGTTGCGAAATAATGTACGATGCTAGCTCGTACATATTCCCGGGCGCGAAAGAAGATGTAGATGGGGATGCTGTGGTTTTAATCAAAAAAAAAAAACAATGTTCGGGTTGTACCGAAACTATAAAGATTCTGATAGGTAAAACTGATAAATGATACTGATAGAAACTTGATTAAAACTGTATATTGAAACTTAAAATATAACTGATTAATGATTGTAATGAGTACGCGCGGCGTCCTTGATGACCGAATGCGAACTGATTTTAATGAAATGTGAAATGTAAAATAAAATGTTAATGTTGCGAAATAATGTACGATGCTAGCTCGTACAGTGTCTATAATTATATCAGAAACATGTGTCTTGAGGGCGAATTTGGGTGTATGATTGATCCAAGAGTATATGACTTTATATATTTATAGGACTTTTACAATGTTTTTGACCGCAGCTAGCCTTTACAGCTTCACCGGACGACGGGGAGCGACTGCAGATGGCACTCCAAAACCGCGACTTATGGAACTGCCAAAGGTCAACTCTCACCTGGTGGACTTCGACTGACGACTTTAGTATGAGGTGTAATGCTTAATGGAGGATGCAGATTTAGAAGTGCGTGTGTGTGAATGTATTATGAGGAGAGTTCGAGTGCGTGGTGAGTGTGGTGCAGTAGGGGCGGACCTCCCGGGCGCGCGGCGCGTCGTCGGAGCCGGTGGAGTCGAGCGAGGCGCGGCTGGCCCGCAGCGCAGCCTCCGCGCCCTCCAGCCGCACCGGGGACGCGTTGCGCCGTATCGTGTCACCGATTAGGTGCTTCGCGTGGCTGTACAGTACACACACATATATGACTTACCACCGTAGTTCATCATAATATTATGCACGCTATAACATTTCAGACTATGCATAAGTAGAAACACGAACTGTTTGGATGCCATTGGCATCGTTGAATTATTGAATAAAATTCAGTAAAACTTTAAAAACACTGAGTCGATATTCAAACTTCCATTTCTTATACTCACTTCACGTTCTCTTCGTTTGGCCCGGTAATTTGGACTAGACGTTCTTTAGCACCCGGACTCACTGAAATCACATAAAATCGAGAGTATAGACCGGGTAGCACATTACTATTAGTCCGAGTTAGTAATTAACTTGATGAAGCTTCAAGCTGAATGCGATTAATAGGTGTGTTATAATGATTTGTTTCTGATATTAATAACCGTTACCAAAATGACTGCATTTATTTATTAGTATATAAAGGAAAATTATTAATTGAATTATCAAAATTCTGATATTTATGTACTATTCAAAACATTAATTTTATAGAACAATATTGACAATATACGGTAATATGGTAATATGATTAGAGAAGAGAATCAGCATAGGAATGGGAAGAGACCGTCACACCATGCACAAACGCGTCCAGCCCACACCGTGCATTCGTACCTCGCTGAAACGATATAATCGTATCACTTAGCTCCTCGATCATGTGCACCCTCCTGCCCTTGATACCCATCACTGCAACACCACAATATAAATTGAGACTCGCTGCCGCGGGACTCGTTACCTACCTCTCTCTTGTACAGGATATATGGATATTTAATGCCCATAACACCACACAAATTTTCATTAATTACATAATAATTATTATAAATATTAATATTCTAATAAATTAAAGCATACAGTATTTGATAATTGTATGGATATTATTAAATACAGGTTGTATTATAATAAATTACAATTATAACCCATTATCAACATGCATCTTTTAAAAATAAATATGTATAACTGTACTATCAAGACAAGTAACATATAAGCTAACCATTGTCTTAATTCATGCATTGATTCCCAATATACTGGACAGTATTTTCAATAATTTAAGACATGCAATATACCCATATAAATCCAGAAATGATTACCTTTTCCAGAATCAGCATTCCTGATGACAACTTCATCCTTGGAATAATTCTTGCCTGGGATCTTGGTTGGTTTGGGAAACTTGCCAGAGGGCTTGATGACTTCACCGGGGCCGAGAAGAGTGGGCGGCTCAGCAGGCGCAGCCAGCGTTGGAGAAACCGAGCCGCCCGTGCCCGACCCCTCCATAGTAGGCACTAGTAATGGCTATAATATACAAAATGACGTATTGTATAATATCATAACGTAATAGCTGACGATTTTACAATCGCCAATACTGTTCATGAATTGATAAATTAACTTTCAATATCACAAATAACCCAACTATAATTTGTTGATAGACAATGTTCAAGTCATGTTTATTTTTTAATTTAGTAATCAATATTATTTCTCTTATTAATATTTAATTCTTGTCTTAAATTTATGGTGGAATTTATGATTATAAATTATTCCTGTATATATTTAAAGCACTATTCCTTTATTGCAAATTTCCTGATAAAACAGCTGTTACCTCATAATATATTTAAAAGTAAATAGAATAAATTCAAACCTCAGCATGTGTACCACGGTGCCTGTAGTACTGACTCATGTAATCAGAACCTTGCCATAGTTTAGCACGCAGCTCAATTAACTCAAGAAGATGTAGGCGTGTCTTTTTATCCAAGCGCTCATCTTGTGAGCCATTGCGGAAAACAACAAAATATCTGAAAACAAATGTCCACCATTTCATTAAAATTAATCAGTAAAATTAACATATATAATAGCTGCACATTCAAACTTCAAACAAAAGCATTGTAGAGAAAGTTTCTAAATAAAATAAAATAAAATTTTTAGATGAATAGTCAGAAACATTATCAACTGCTATTTTAGAAAAAAAGTATAAAAAAGGGCATTTAATATCAAATAAATTTATTTAGTATAGAAAAGACAGTGAACAAACCTGTCAAGAAAATCTTTGTAGAGGCTCTCAAGCTGGGCACCATAGAGCTTCAGGTTAGAGTACATAGTGGCCACATTACTTTGAAGAGCACGGTCATAATTTCCCTGCATCATTTGATAAGCCACAGCTTCAGTCAACACTATTAAGTCATCAGCTGAAAATAATAAAATAGTATCAATGAAAATTTTAAATGTAAACAAAAATATGTATATACAAAAACTATATACTTTTTAATCACTGTCCATGCCACCTGTACAACACATAAAACCTTTTGCATATTTTGAATTTGGAATGAGTCTGTTATTAGAGAGATGTAAAAATAGTATTATTTATTTCAACAATTTAAAAGTGTACACCAGCTCCACTTTGGTTAAATGATCATATACAACAAGTTCCATAAAGATTAGTTGTGACAGTGCATAGAAGTAAAAATTTAACACAATAAAATATGTACTATTAATTAGGATCGGCACAGTATGCTACAGTCTTATGCTAATCCTTGTTAAATATTATATATGACCTCACCTTCCTTTTATGCAATCAATGTTTTACCCCTTTGTGTCCATGGACATTTAAAATTATAGAACTAAGCAAAATAAATTAGCATGCAAATATAGTGACTTTTATAGGGAAATATAAACAATGAAGTCACATTATGACTATTATCATTGTTATTTTAGGCGAAATACAAATCTTACCGGAGTTTATTTTGACGTCCAATACTGAGTTGCGATTGTGTGCGGAACTAGTTGTTGACTTCAGGGGTCTGGGAACTTCCAGTTTTTTAACCGTGCGAGTCATTTTCGTTAGGGTCGACATGGTGCTGAAGATGGATAAAATAATTCAATTACTCATTACAGAAAGGTGTTACATACATTGGGCGAACAGTGATATACACATTTTATTAGGATATCGTAACCTCGCCTTAAATATTTACGGTGAAACATCCAATAACAAAGAGAATTCTGTGGAAACTCACTCATCCATGGCGGCTGCACCTCAATACAGTGTATGCACACTAAAACCACTAATGAAGCAAATTGTGTAAAAGTGAAAGTGATGACAATGATTCTAGCGAATAAATTCAGAACAAATCCAATACGTGTTCATTACTCGTAATGTTTTTAGGGAAATAAAAACGAATTAGCTGAAAAAATTTTGACTTTTAGTAGATTAAATATTTTGCTCGATGAAAAACATCTATACAAAACAATTGAAAACTATGGAACACAATGAAATAAAGAAATAAACAAGAATACTCACCTGGCTACGCCATTAATTCGCAATAAAAATAAAATTCAAGTGGTGTTGCAATAATGTCAATTAAATTATACCAATTTATTTAACAAAGTTAACAATGCATTAATATATTATTATATTATATGTAAGTAATATACTAATATATAACACTCAACTAATCGAAAAATATTTTTTTTAACATTCATAAGAACATTTTTTGATATGTAAATAGTCGTATCAATTCTACTACCGCTAGCGTAGTGATTACTTGCTCAATAGCACCCAATTTAAATAAAAAAGTACCTGTCTAATCCTGATGAAATATTCAGAGACATTTCATCAGGACATTTGACAATAATTAATATTGTAAATTAAAGAAGTAATTTGTTGTTGTAAGAAAAATGTTAAATAGGTATTCAATTTGACAATAGACTAGAAAATGCATGGAAGAATTATAACTTAAAAAACATGGCAATAATTGCTATATTAAAAAAAAATTGAATTCTTAATTTTTTTTAAGAAATTCGGAAGTGTCATTTTGGTCGTCGATAGTGATTGTTATGTTCTCGTGTTTTTGTTTTCATATTTAATTCTTGAATTTATGCCGTAAAATGATCAGAAGACATGTTAACATTTTGAATCAAAAACACTCACATTTTCTCAATGAGTTTGAAGTGATTCTGTGTAAATGAAGTGGTTTATTTTATTTTAGCTGTAAATTATTTTAATACAAGGTATGTATGCCATAACGAGATTGAAAATTTTAATATAACCCGCACTATTTCAAATTTAATTCTGTTTGTTTTTAGTAATTGGTAATAACTATATTGAAATAAAGTTAAAAACGACATTAAATTACTTTGTGCTCATTATTACATCTCCATAGAAAATACATAATAACAATAATAGTTATAAATAATTTTTCACAAACGATATTTTAGCGACATGGAGACGAATTTTAATTACGTTGACAAATATCAAAGTGTACCAATGGAAGTTTTTATTCAATGGATTAATTCCGAGTTCTAGTTTTATATATTTTAAAATGTAGATAAAGATGTGTAATATAGACATTGTTTGTTGTTCATGCAATTAAGTAAAATCTTATAATTGTTTCTAAATGATACTATTGCTGTTCAATAGTATCATTTAGAAACAATTATAAGTTTCTATATTTAGTTTCTATTTTTAGTTAGTACCTAAATATGTAAAATGCTCAGTCAGAAGCTTTAGAACATTTACTTCTTTGAGTTTCTCTCATATGAGTCACAATTTACCTTATCACAGTAATTTCAGGCATGCTATGTTTTTGAATTATAACAATATATTGAGTATATTCACTATCCTGCCCCATAATAATATTACATTAAATATATATTATTTAATTTATTCTAGGATATGTACTGCTTCTATGAATTCAATATTGATTGTAGTATTGGCCTGGCTTTACTTTCTCATCTTTGTTTAATAATCTTACCCATTTTGAAAAGCAGAAGGTTGATTTTGATTATATATTTTTTTATTTCTATTAATTTGTAATAGTGTGGTTAAGTTTGATGTTACTACTGTTCATTTCCCAAATAAGTCAAATCCTATTTTTTAAGTACTATGATTAAATAGTAAATTTATATATTTAATTGCTCTTGTTTTGCAGATCCAGCCATGGCTAAGTACTACTTCACCTTATTGATGGTGAGGGTTGTGCTGCCAGCAGGACTCCTTCTCAGTAAGATTCCATGTTTTATCATAGCAAAAGCAATATCTAATTTGTTATACATTTTTTATCATGTTCAATTCTATTTATTTAGGTAAGTTCTAGGTATGTATTATAATAAATAATCCGAATATTATAAAGTTAATTTTTTGGTTTGAGTTACTTAAATACATACAATAGTTTTGAGGTAATAGCAAATAACAAATTTGTTTAAAAACACACTAAAATAAACTTTTTACACACACTCAGAAAATTAAATTGATGTACCTATACTTCTTAGTTACTATAATTTTATTTACAGTACCTATTACTGCCAAGCAGCTTCCATATAGGATTTTTTCAATTATTTATAAAATTATAGCTAGGGGGTTTTTAAACTACAACTATTATAATATCTATTACCTACTTTAAATCTGTAATACCCATTATCTTAGCATTGTTCTACAATGATTCATTGACGCAATTAACGAAGCCGGCCGGCGCGGCATCGTGTGCCGGTGCCGCTTGCGGGTCACGACGCGATCTCTCGACACTGTAATGATATTATTTTATTTCTAGCACTTCTACATTAACGGCGCCGAAATAAAACTTACGTCATGGCGTGTCGATCGGATCACTAATAAGAAACATCATAACGTCCATTTTAGTAGATATAATAAATTCGTGTCGTTTTTTCTTTCCCGTTTAGTAGTTCCAAGTTAAGGATGTGGTGTTTAAAGTAGTACCAGCTACGTATCGTCGCATTGCAGGGAAGGAGCGTAACGTATCCTCCCGTTGGGCGCGCCAGTTGATTCTGGGTGTGTCCTCGCAATTCGTACTCTGACCCGTTGACCGACTTGCCATGGCCTTGTCTACAAGCCTTTTCATTATACTGGATGCCTACCACCAAATTTGCATGCCATTCCCTACACGCAATCATGCTACCGCTTGAACTTTGATTTAAACCTTAAAGACATTGTATAACGCATAGGAATAGGTACACAGCCTGTAATTAGCTCAGTAAATAATGGTATTTTTTCGTTCCACAAAACGATTGACTACTAATCCTGTCACAATTTATATGGAACCAACTTAAACGCTAACAATTGCAAAAAGTATTATTTTTGTTGTATAAGACGTATCACGTACGTACGCATCTGTATGCTATATAGGGAACACAGAAAGAACAAAAACTAATTAGGAGTAAAGCACGCCAAACTAAACCATTACAATTTACAATTAGGATAAGATACTAGCGCCGGCTTTATAGTGCAAGGTTTATTAGTATACACTAGTCATCATTAAATACAATTAGACTACGCGTAGTGATAATGAAATATGTGTAAGAACATTTTTTTTGTAATTGGAATGGCGAGAAAATAGTAGCGAAAACATAAAGAGCAATGGGGGTGAGTCCTCGGAAATGACAAGGCATTGAAACAATGCCATCTTCTAAAATGTATAAGTATACATCTTAGTAGGTGGCATTCTCTTAACCTTTTAACCGAAACACAGCTCTCAAAGAAGATTGGCGACTTAAATAGGGCACCTACGCAGACAAATTTTTTACAAAATCTACCTCAGTCTAACTTATAATTTTCAAGCAAGATGATCTGCAGTGGAAGCTTATAATTTAAAATACTTCGACAAGTGGGATAGACAGAAGAAGACGGGATAAGTAAATTATGCATTCAGAAAAGATTTTAAAATTTCATTTTTTTATATTATGCACACGGTATTCATACGACATTCATTCAACACAATTCAACTTATTTGTATTATAAAATAGAAAAAAATACGTCCCTGATTTTTATGAAGTTTCTAACTAAAGTGAAAATAGCAAATACATTTCAGTAAAAATATAATGACGTTGCTAACTAGTGATGACAAATCTTACAAAACTCTTCTAAAAGAAACTTAGTTATATGCTTGGTATACACAGTATTAGTCTAATCGCACTCTAACCATTTTTATTTGAAGTTTACCTTGTGTAATCTGTTTTGAATTTATCGGTTCTAATATATCATGTAAAAGACAAATATCGTTAATGTGTTGTAGTTTCAATCAATCATCAGCGTTAAGGTGTTAATTGATGCCGTACTCATAAAAACACATCCTAACCCCGATTTCCCTTCCCTTTCGTTGAGTAGCCCATAAATGCGATAATTTGGATCAGTCCCTGCCCTTTGTTTACTATTGTTGTTTGTATTAACGAATTATTTCAGTGATTTTAGTGTAATATATATTTTTTATAGGAAGATACTGTAATCACTGGCTATGTAATAAACAGAGATATTTTATCTTTACAATGCGTATTTGCTATTTTTGAACTTACTAATTAAATATATATATATACTGATTTATGAATTTTGTATTTCATTAAGAATTGGGCCTGTTATTTGTAGATATAAAGACACCCTATACCTCTACTCTACCTAAACGATACAGACACTAAGACAATAAGTCTGCCATACTTACTATGGTATATTAAATATTACGTAATGGAACATCCATTTATAGAATTGGACTTTCCACCTTGAAATAAGTCTATAGAAAATAAGGTAAACATATGCATATCCCGTACTACCGGTGATAACGATATTATACAGTATGTAACTACATAGAGAGACCATGTATTGAAGTAAACAAAGCAATACTCTAGAAGAGTTGAGAGTAGATTGCAGAATGGCGTGAGGTCACGATGTTTGCTGAACTAATGGGACACACCCGTCGCTATCACAAAGCACCATTAATTAAACCTACCTTTCTTTTGTCCAGTTTCGCCACTAACTCTTATATGATATTTCTGCAAAAAATCATAGACTGTAGATATAGACTGATGACATTATGAACTGTAACATATAGTTCTATAGTGTATTATATTTATATTACAGAAATATTTGTTGTGGGATCATGATAATTTTGTTATGATTCGGCTTTTGAAATAGAAATAATCTTTATTCAAATAAACTTAATATAAGCACATTTGAATAGTTATTTTAGTGATTTTACGGCTCATTTGAAAGGCTGATTTAATCAAAAAGACTGAGCAACTTGCCTGTTGCTCCTTTAAACAGATGTTCAACTTTTATCTCTAAAAGAAACAATCTAAATTCGTTCGGTTCTCGCGAAATTATCGGGTAATATATTTACAAGTAAAAAGAAATTCAGTTTGGTGATCACATCTTTTGAAGTTTGTTGAGATCTTACTTCCTGTTTTTTTTAATATCCGCTATATTCTTAAAGGTTTAAAATTGATACCCCTCAAACTTATGCATGCTCGATAAATTACTTTTGTGACCCTCAAAAAAATAAGAAATCATTGGAATAAATTCAACTAGCATAAAATATTCAATTTGTGGTGATTCCAGTTACTTCTGACCTTTGCTAATCTTTCTATATTTAAGTCGAAACTCGTTTCAGTATCAAGTCGTTAGTATAGTTAATATGAGTCTACACGACTCAACATATATTAGGTACTAGCAATAGTATAGTTAGATAAACACATTCCATCACTGTCCCTAATTGTTGCATTATAGTTTATGAGGGCTCCTCGACTTGTCACTTAACCCATTTTTCAATTGATTTCGATAAGAATGTTTGAAAATCGTCTGTAATTTTTTTCTAGTATTTAGGTCATCTGATAAAAACTTACTTTTAATTTTCATAGACTATCATTATTTTTGTGCATGTATGTGTATTTTTGCCAATTTGAATGATTTGGCAAAGTGGACTTTGACACATCAGTCTGCGTCGGTAGTATTGTCTAATCTATATTAGTCACAAACCTGTATAAGCTGTGTTTCAGTTTTAAAGGTGAATAATACAGGGTTCGGGGGCATGACACCAGTCTCTCGGGATATGATTAGATCTTGAATGATTATCCATTGAATGGTGAGCATACTGGTCTTCCATTTTATATAAAATGAAATATTTTTACAGTCGATGTAATATAATCTCGCGTCAGTGCACTTAGGGATGATATTTTCGTTACGTATCTACATGTTGAGTAAAATTTATGACGAATCAACATACAAAAAATGTAATACGTTAAACAATCCAAGAAAATACTACATTTATACAATAAATGTTTGTATAAATGTAGTGTTGAAGAACAGGTACAAAGAAGATTGTCGTTTGTGTTGGCTAAGGATATTGCGAACACACCCCGAACTGGTGGCGTCAGTGTAATCGGTAATCGGACAGATCACACGCACACACACTGCATGTCATGATATGACACCCTGCCACCGGCCGGCCCACTCCACCCACCCTGGCCATCCACCTGCTTAATTACATATAAATATACCACTCTGATAAATTAAAATAAAATCTATTCCGTGAAATGGTATACCTACCTACGTTCACTGACGACTCGGATTGGGCGGTGGCAAGCTTTTAATTAAATAGATAAAATACCGCCTGAATTACATTTGTATAAATCCACACTAATCACACAACGTTCTCTGGTTCTCGCTGAATCTAATTTTAGTGATAGTACTTTTTGTTAATTAAATTAATGTACTTAACTTTCACTTCCACACCGATACAGGTAATTTAAGTATTTCATGTTTTACAGGTTGGAAATATAATTTTAAGTAATAACATTAGCAGATTTCTTTTTTGTTATCACCCGAAGTTGTCAATATCACACGCTTAATATTAAGTATGGCGAATATTTTTATAAGTATTTCAGTATGTCAGTGTATAGTACAAAACAATTTCTGTTTTTTTAATAAAGAGCAAGTTTTATTTATTCTGAATAATAAAGGTAAAACTCTTAGTACTCTTGTCTTGAGACTTTTCATATCATTCGTCTTTCAGAGTTTTGTTCAAATTGATTATAAACTATTAATAGTTACTGAAATCTGTAGGTATATAGACTCTGTGAAAGAAATGGATAGAACAGTTAAGTAATAGTTGTAGGTAGATAATGTAGATTGAGAGACCCGATCTTTATAAATTGGAACTATATGATGGGACCAGATTTTTGTGTTCTAAATACGTCCCTGCACAGAAAAAGAAATTACAAT